AGCGTCCTCTGACAGACTTTTCTGCAAGACACGACCTCGACGACGGCAATGACCACGTCACGATGACGGCATCGACCGCGTCATCCACGACGGCACGACTGCATCAACACAGCGTCACTACAGTGACGACCCTACACGGCCACACGGTTTTGGTAAAACAGATGTGTGCTCGATGGGCTTCCTTCGGTCTTGGCAAAACCGGCGGACTCGTCGCCGACGGTACCCTCTGACATCCGCAAGGTGCATCATCCACGTTTGCAGCTCCGTCATAGGACATTTTTTTGCCCCTCCAGGCTTTGTGCGACTTCATCATGCACGACCAGAGCACCCTTACTTCACTTTTTTATTTTGCATCTCTCAATAAAGAGGGAGGGAAGGCAACTACATCATCGACAACGACTACCTCGACCACGACTACAACACCATGATCGGCTACCTCGATATCGACATTAATGGCTTGGTCTACAGCAACATATCGGCAACAACTCCAGTCAACAGCGTTCACGTCGTCACCAGCGTTCACGCCACTCCCGCTGTGACTGCGGGAGGGAAAAGAGAAGGGACAAGGAAGGCACCAGAAGGGGACGCAGTCACCGCCCTAGGTGCCGACCCATCAGAGACGCGGTTGATGGTGGAGCAGCGGAGAAGATGACGGAAGCACACGACTTCAAATTCAGTCATAATCGTCCGCTTCACTCCCACTACGACTGAGGGGGATGTTAGAAGTATAAACGTGATTAGCTAGAGATAAGGAGAAAGAGATAGACTTAATTTAAACACACAATACTCTTGACTTGTACTCCAAGCTTCTTCTACATTGTACTCTATATATACCCCTACAAGGGTCAGATCAATACAACACATAATTCTAGGGTTTCATATTTTCTACAGCAACGACATTCCTATTACATTGCCCAGCAACTACAACAACATTTTATTGTAAACCTTCTTGTAGCCAGCAGCAGGATGTAGCGGCGGTGCACAGGGTCGCACACAGCAAAGTCCTTGATCAAAAAATTGTGGTAATGGAAGTCCAAAGCAGGGACGCCGCATTTGCGTTGGACTGAGCTGCCGGCGAGTAGGTCATTGTTCAATTGTTCAATGTCACGTTCAATCATTTCTCAAAATGTGTCATTGTTCTGAACTTTGTTGGTCTGACGGAGGTCTACGTTTAGACATATCATCCAGGCAACTCCTTTTGGGAAATAAGATTCTTCATACAAATTTCAATCATGTCTTATGTGATGTGTCTATTAACATTTAGCAGATGAGATGGAGTTTATCCAAACTTTATATTAACAAATACTCCCTCTGTCTCAAAATATAAGAACATTTTTCACACTACACTAGTGTAAAAAATGTTTTTATATTATGGGACGGAGGTACATGGTTATGGTAGCTAAGGCATCCAAACACGAAGACATATAGTGGGCAGTTTCATCATATGAAGCGGAATATATTGCTTTGTCAGGTTCATGGGTTGGACGACTACTTGCTAAGATGGCATTTCATCACGGATTATGTGGAGAATGGCATCATCGGGATGAAATGTGTATGTTGCCACCGAAAATTGGCTTGCAGATCTCTTGGTCATTTGAAGTTTCTGGAAATCAGAAGAAAGATTGACATGGTGGTTGTTAACAAAGACAACAAGGTTAGGTGGCAGGGTGAATGTTTGATGTGTCAGGACACCTCTAGTTGATCCCTATCCTTTAACTCCTCAAATGCTTCCTCAAAGTTCTACTTAAATTTGAGAAGTTGTATAGTGGCCGAACCTAACCGACACCCTATATGTAACTCCTCAAATGAACTAGACCCTCATGTAAGTCACTCTCCCACCTTTTCTTCCCCTTCTTTCTCCTTCCGCGCTGCCAAAAATTCGCTAGAATATTTTCTCTCAGAGCATGATGCACTTGGCTGGAGCGAATGACAGTGTCTCCTTCTGAATGTCCTACTCCTGGTATTTGTCGAGCATCTATGGTTGTATACAACATCAACGGGGCGATTCGTAAAAAAATCTCAATCAATGTCGGCATCTGGTGCCCATGATGAGAGAACTGGTTGGAGATGGGTACTAAACCGCATCAACGTGTCGTCTGAGTGCAGCAGGGAGCCTATATAGGTCATTGTACCCGCATTGGCCGGTGTGCAAGCTAGCCGGACGGATACCGCTAGCGGCACCGTTTCTGGATTGGCTCGGCACGAAGATGCGACATGGCGGAGCACCTGACCAGAAGGCTAGTTACATTGGTACGTGTGATGCTTCTGCTGCCAATGCCTCAGCGAGCGCTAGTGAGAGCCGAAGGAGGACGAAGACGATGAGGAGGAGAGGAAGAGCAGCAACGACGTTGTCGATGGCGGGGCGGGTGGGTATGCCCACTCATTAGGAGGTTCTTGCGTCCAGCGAGAGGGGAGCAAGTGGTGGGCGATGATGAGCCCGTAGACCAACAACTTCGTTGCCCTGATATAGGAGACCAACCAAACTCATCGCCGCCGGATAGTGTAGACAGAGATGTGAGGGTTGTGCAGGTTACATTTTCTTGATCACCAGGGCGGCAGACGGAAGGAGGAGGCGTCACACACGTATGAGGAGAAGTAATCTTATTTATTTATTGTTGCTTCTAAAGAATCGCTCGTGCTCGCTTAAAAATGAGGGAGTGAGACATTTTTTTACATAACTCTTCAAAATTTTAAACAGTTAACCGTTTGCCCTGGAGACCTCCTGGTGACACGGAGGGGCTGCCGAGCGAAAGTTTCACGCGTTGTCGCCGACAACAACGACGATCATAGACGCCGCTATCTTCTTGAAGATGTGGTTGTGGTGCTCCTCTTCGTGTCCGGGTTCCTGATGAAAACCTATGTCTGATGTGGGGTCAACAACAGCGACGCTTAGCGCCATTCTCCCTCCTAGGGAGTCATGGAGGTTAGATGTTATTTATACTAGTAATAATGTACGTGCAATGCACATTTATATTAGGTAGGATATTAGTTGCACGTTATATTAGGTAAGATATATCTGTTGCACGTTGGTATTTGGTAAGATATCAATTACTTTTTCACGGGAATGGTAGGATATTAATTACATGGCAGATTTCAAGGGATAGCATTGAGTTAAAACGTGTTTATAACCAATGGCAGTGGTGGATAATTAGAGCGTTAAACGTGTTGGATGCTCAACATTGAAGCGATTTGAACCGCTAGATAATATGATTTGACAGTCGAGATGATTTGAATCTGCCCATTTGGATCTTTTTATATTGGTATAGATGGTAGGATATTAATTACATGGCAGATTTCAAGGGATAACATTGAGTTAAAACGTGTTTATAACCAATGACAGTGGTGAGTAATTAGAGCGTTAAACGTGTTTGGTGCTCAACATTGGAGCGATTTGAACCGCTAGATAACATGATTTGACGGTCGAAATGGTTTGGATCTGCCCATTTGGATCTTTTTATATTGGTATAGATATAACTAGTGAATGTGCACGTGCAATGCACGTTAATTTGGAAGTATATTGAGTGCATGTGGATATTAAGTAGGATATTATTTGCGTGTTATTATGTGATTAACACTATATTTTGCATGAATTTAACTGCACGCTAAACATGTTGATCGCTCAACATTGAAGCGGTCTAGTTCGTTGGATTGACATGATTTGATGGCCCAGATTTATTAGATCTGCCCCTTTGATCTTTTTATATTGGTATGTAGATATAGATAAAACGGGGCAAAAACCTGTTTCCATCGTTAAATGTTTCTAAGTGTTGCGCTAAGGGAAGATTTTTTCTTTTCGCAAATGAAAATGGAAGTTTTTTTTTCTAACTGATCACCGCTAGGAAAGTTTGCATCCGTTGCAAACTGAGAGGGAAACGAACCTACGGTCACCGTGTCTACCACTTGCCGCGCCCGCTCACTGTGTGTCACTAGCACGATGTGCGCCCCGGCGTTGCTCTGATGCGCGCACCGGCCCATGTTCGTCCTCGGCAGCCACGCAGCGGAGATGAAGGCCTCCGCGGCCACCATGCAGCGACGAGGGCACTCCCCTACGCCGCCCACCCTGCCGGCCATGCTGGAGGACAGCGCCTCAAGTCCCCCTCGCGAGGGCGTGGCGACAACACACGTCGGCCTCCACCACAGCAGTGCAGCCAACCTGTTCGATGAAATGCACTGGCAAATGTGCGAATAGTCTGTCGACGTGTGTTGTCGCCACGCCCTCGCGAATAGTTTGGGGAACTCTGTTGTTGACAAAGTTATTTTTTTCTTTTCTTTTTTTGCAGACGTTTGAGGCATGACACTGCCCGGAATCTCCCGGACCGACATTACGGGGAAAGTGGGGGGTTCTGCCACTGGAGATGCCTTTAGGTGCAACCGTGCGAGTGGCGGTGCCCGTGCACCGCTGAGAGGATACGCGATCCAAGCTGCAGAGGTACACGGTTAGTTTGTACTATTTTACTCATCCTATATTGTAGTATCTCCATTTCTCATGTGAATATATACTTGCAGTTATTTGATGCTATATTCCGACAGAGTTCTGAATAGCTGTGTGATAGACTATGTTCACCTATATGCATCTACTCAGTGTTGCACTGCATCTTTATTCAAGCATGTTCTGACACTATAACTTGTTGTGTAACAATTTTTACCCATGACATGCATGTTTGTAGTTTTTGAGCTACCATATTGCTTGTCCGGGCGGGGTCACAACATTCTTGCTAATGAAATCAGTGGGGCGGAATAATTACAATACTCAAGAACAAATTTAGTCTAGTGTTGCAAACCTTATAGTGTACCGTGTGCAAAATTGCTTTGTCAACACAAGACAAAGTGTAAAAATATTACAGTATCAATTGCTCGGAAACATTACAGCCTTCATTTCTCGATTGTATTACGGCATATGGAAATGGCATTTCTTCTGTTCTAGTCCTCTATTATCACAGTAACCATTTTAGGTTCAAAACAATGTGGTCTCTACTTACCTTCCTTTTGTAGCTAATCCATCACCAAGTTGAAGTATCGACCACCTTCTTCTTGGATTTGGGCTTTTTGTTCTTCTGCTTCTTGTTTTGCTGCAAATCATCATTTACAGGCACCTTGGGCTTCACATCAGCAGCAGCAGCCACCCCTTGTCTCGGTCTGTCTAGGTTGACGTCGCTTAAGCTGTCTTTGGAGATCTTTTCCAAGTGCCCAACAGTACTATTCTTCTTCTTGGTTTCATCTTTGGAGATCTTTTCCAAGTGCCCAACAGTACTGTTCTTCTTCTTGGTTTCATCTTTGGAGATCTTTTCCAAGTGCCCAACAGCACTGTTCTTCGTCTTGGTTTCATCTTTGGAGATCTTTTCCAAGGGCCCAACAGTACTGTTCTTCTTCTTGGTTTCATCCGGTTTGATGTTTTCCTTCTCAAGTAGCTTGTTATATCTGACATGGTGGCTGTCCTGCTGGTCCAGGGGGTGCCCTGATTTTTGGTTTTCAACATGACTGTCGGGCAAAACCTTCTTGTTCCGCCGAGCAAGTTCAGACTTCTTGGCATGGCTGTCTCCATAAATATCATCCATATCTAAGAAATCAGTATCTTGCTCCTGCAATTCATCAACTCGTGTGCTGCCTCTGACTGCGAGCTTCACTTGCTTTTCTTCTAAAGATCTGGTCTTCGGTTTCTGAATTTTGCTTTCTGTCACTGTGGTGTTGCCAGCTCTCTTCTCTTCTGATCTAGCAGGTATAGTACTATTCCTGCTGGAGTTTGTAACCTTTCCTGCTACTACAACGGCAGGTGTCGTTGGGTTTGTTCGTGCCGAAGTGCTCTTACTACCTACGACCTTTCTGTCTGTAGTCCTGTAGTCCTGGAACCTGGTCTTGATCTCCTCGAGCTCGGCTTCCTTCCGCTGCAGGATTTCCATTAGAGCTGCCATCTGGTCAGGATTTGACGCTGCGGCGGTTTTCTCTTCCAGTTGGCTGATGCGGCTGTCTCTCGCCTTTAGAGACAGCTCCTGTTCCTTCTGAGTTTTCTCAAGACTCGTGACTTTATCTTGCATTTGCTTGATGTGGTTTTCTCGTTCCTTGAGAGATGCTTCTAGTGCTTTCCGGGTGCTGTGAAGATTTGCGGCTTTCCCTTCCATTTGGCTGATGCGGCTCTCTCTCTCCTTGAGAGATGCTTCGAGTTCTTTCTGCGCGTTCTTGAGGATTGTGGCTGTGGCTTCCAGCGTCTTGAGCTTTGTTTTCAGGTCTGTCTTCTGTGTTCTCAGGGAAGACATTGTGGCCTTCATTTCTTCCGCCTTCCTCTTCGTCTCTTTGCCATATGCCTTCTCTTTCTGGTACATAAATAAGAATGAATGGTACAATGTTTGGTTAGTTATATTTTCCTTGAATTTAGAAACCACACTTATATATACGTCTGGTACATAAATAAGATTCTTAGTGTGTAGTAACTGAAAAAAAGATGGCAATCAAAGCACATGTCAAAAAACACATGTATAGCTTCACCGTAGCAAATCTCTGCTGTAAATCAACTGATGTTTAGAGCAATATTCCTATTTCATACACCTGGTTATTACTGATGAAAACGTTGTGCATAAATTGGAAACCATGAGCAAGAATTTGCATCTTGAGAGGTGCATCCATATTCGACTAGAAAGAAAAGGGAGGCGGCAGCTAATTCTAGCAGAGGTTGGCACAGATAAACTTCCCAACTCCTAAACTGTTCTACAGTTGGTGCAATTTGACACTCTTAAAAGGTGCAGATTCATTCCTATATGATGCAGAATGGTTGATCTTGCACCAGCTTGTCTGCA